AATACTATGTGGTTACTAGTTGGAGAAGGGAGGTTTCTTGGAGGAGATATGAATGCCATTACTGGTCAAAGGGGCAGCACTGCAAGCCAAAATAACAGACATCCAATCGCTTTGAATCTTTGGTTTACCAAGCTATGTAGACTAAAAGTGACTCATTCTGATGTAGATTATCTGCTGATGATCATGATGGTCATGTTAATTATCATTGCTATTTTATGAAGAGATTCATATAGTTTGGTACATAGTTCAGTAATTTCCTGAGATTCGCTAGTCAGAAGAGTAGTGTAGGCACTTTGCTAGGTTAATGTATCATCTACCAGTTATAAGGACTATGGGATGATCCAAAGACTAGGAGACATACTCTTAAAAAGTTTTATCAAATAATTTTATGGTATAATTTATGTCTACATCAAAGTTAGACAATGAAATTTTTCATGTGATTGTACTGTACTATTCTAGTAACACCATAAGATTGCTTTTAGCTAAGTCCTCAAGGCATTTGTTTATACTTTTCATGGAATTGTTATTTGAGCAAATACATTTGTAAACTAAAAATCACACAAATGCAGAGGCAGAATATTAGGCATAATTTCCTCATAGTACTATGTGGAACTCTAGATCTCAAATTCTCTGATTACATTGGCATCAAACATTTAGTACATAGTGGTTAAATAAACGAAAGAAAGAATAAGTGACTATCTTACCTGGTATGTTACCCAGGTATATACCCAGGATGACATGCCCATGTATATGCTCAGAAATGGAATTCCTGGGTCATACAATAATTCTGTTTTTAACTTTCTGAGTAACTGCCATACTATTTTCCATAGCGGCTACACCATTTTGCATTCCCACCAGTAACACACAAGGGTTCCAATTTCTCTGCATCCTTGCCAACAATTTTTATTTTGTTTTTAAATTTTTTTTTCTGATAATAGTCATCTTAATGGGTATGAAGTGATACCTCTTTTTTTTTTTTTTATTTCCATGAAAATCACACTTTATTATCAATTGCTTCTTGTAACCATTATCACCGTGGCTTTTATTTGCATTGCACTAATGATTAGTGATGTTGAGCATCTTTTCATGTGCATGTTCACATAAAATATTGGCACATTAGATATTGTATATCTTCTTTGGAGAAATGCCTATTCAAGTCCTTTGTTCATTTTTGAACTAGGTTTTTGCTGTTGCTGTTGAACTGTGGGAGTTCTTTATATATCCTATTAATTCTTTACTGGAGATATAATTTGTCAATATTTTCTCCCATTTCATGGGTTGCCTTTTTATTCTATCAACAGTGCCCTTTGGTATACAGAGATTTTAATTTTAATTTTAATGTAGGACAGTTCATCTATTTTTTCTTCTGTTGCTTGTGCTTTTGGTTCATATCCAAGAAATTATTGCCAAATCCAATGTCGTGAAACTTTTCCTCTATGTTTTCTTCTAAGAGTTTTACAGTTTTAGGTTTTATGTTTAGGTCTTTGATTGACTTCGTGTGTATTTTGTATACAGTATAAGGTAAGAATCCAACTTCATTCTTTTGCATGTGGTTATCCAGTTCCCCAGCACCATTTGTTGATAAGACTGCCCTCCCCTATTGAGTGGTCTTGGTGTCCTTGTTTAAAATCATTTATCATATATTCAAGTATTGCTCTCTGGGCTCTCTGTTCTCTTCCATTGGTCTATCTATCTGTCTTCATACCAGTACCACAATGGTTTGGTTATTGAAGTTTGTAGTAAGTGTTGAAAACAGGAAGTGTGATACTTCCAAGTCGGTTCTTTTTAAAGATTGTTTTGGTGATTCTGTGTCCCTTGAGATTCCATATGAAGTTTAGGATGAATTTTTCTATTTCTTAAAAAATCATCATTGAGATTTGGATAGTGTTATGAGCTGTATTGTGTCCCCCCTCCCCACCAAATTCAAATGTTGACATCCTGACCCTGGTACCTCGGAATGTGACTGTATTTGCAGAAAGGATTTTAACGGGGTAATTAAGTTAAAATGAGGTCATTAGGATGGGCCTTAATTCAATATGGCTGTTAACCTTAAAAGAAGAGGAAATTTGGACATATACATGTAATTGAAGGAAAACAAGGTGAGGACACAAGGAGAAGACAGACGTCTATAAGCCAAGGACAGAAGCCTCAGAAGAAACCAACCCTGCCAACACCTTGATCTTGGACATCTAGATCTAGAACTGTGAGAAAATAAATTTCTGTTGTTTCAGCCACCGAGTCTGTGGCACTTTGTTATGACAGCCCCAGAAAACTAACACAGGTAGGGATTGTATTGAATCTATAGCTTGCTTCGGGGAGTGACATTTTTAGATAGGCTGAATTTCATAACTTTGGACTAAATGTGTAAAAATGCTCAGCCAGCAGCTCAGTTTGTGTGAGTTCAACTTAGTAGAGGCGTTGTTCCTACACTGGGACTTACGTAAGAATGTGTTCTTGTTCATTGGGGTTGAGTTTATTTATCTTTGGAGAGGCAATTTTCTTAAGGTGCTAGTCATAATTAGATTATATTTACTGCCCTATTTTAACAGGCAGGAATATTGTGCTCACACTATTATTTTCCATTTTCCTTTAAAATATTCCTCTCTCTAAACTCCTATACCGCACACATCGGTTTTAGGCTAAAAATAGAATAGTTGCTGTTGCTGCCACTGTTCCATGTGGAAAATATAGCCAACTGCTGAGTAGGAAAGAAAAAATAATTTTCTGAGTATATTCTTAGGACAGTATGAAAGCCTCGCGGACGAGGAGCCTCTACCTGACAATGGGCTAAGCTTCCTTGTACCACTCTCATGGTTTTTATAATTTTCCTAAAGACAGGACAGGAAGCGGGGTTCTTCAGGTTCCTTCTACCCAACACAGTGCTGGTGGCAGAAGTGAAGGGCAGAGAGTGAAGGATTTGACTCATGGTTGGCAAACTGAGCTTGTCAGCCAAGTCCAGTCTACCACCTGTTTTTGTAAAAAAAAGAAAAAAAAAAAATGGAGCACAACCATTCTCATTCTTTCACGCATTGTCTGTGGCTGCAGAGTTGATTGAGCAGCTGTGACAGAAATCGCATGGCCCACAAAGCCTAAAATACAAGGTTGGGCAAAAGTAGGTATATACTTTTGAGTATGCAATACACACAGTTTATTCTTGTGTTATTATTTATTAATTATTGTATTATTTTCCATACAAACAACTGTAAACCTACTTTTGCCCACCCCTCTGTATATTATCTGTTTCTTTACAGAATGTGTTAGTTGACCCCTGTGCTAGACTATTAATAAGTGATACTGAGTAATTTATTCAGACCTCTCATTTTGAAAATGAGAAAAATGAAGACACTAATATCACTGGGAGTGAAGGGTTCCAGGCTGGCAGCATGGGACTGAATCAAGAAGAGAAACAGATGGGCTCTTGCAGACCAGTCTCTCCTGGATCAGGGCAGGGTCAGCAGACAGAATTGCTAGCAGTGGACTGTCTACAATGTGTAAAGACCAAGGGAGGTTGAGTCATAATTCTAACAATTCCTGGAGACATTTCCAAGAGGAGGTAACAAGGATGGCACTAAGGATAGAACCAAACAGTCTGAGAATCAATGATAGGTGTCTGGGTCCCACATGGGATGTGAAGACTTGATAGGAGTTTCAGCAACAAATATACCTGGATCCTGGAGGCTGGGCCACATAAGGTAGTTACCCAGAGCACAAATCATCCAGAAATCAGAGCAGAGGAAATAGTGAAGTAGCAACAAGCATTTGGTCCAAAGTCAGTGAGATGAGTCCATACATTTTTTTTTTTTTTTTTTCGAGT